GCCTGGAGAGGCATTTGCTGCAGAAGACATCATCTTCCTTTGCCTGAAAATTTAAAGGACAGAATTATTGCCATGTTTGCTTTGTCTCATGGAGCTAATGTAAAATAAAGATTTATTCTTTTCATTTTCAGAAAGCCAAGTCTGCCATTTTCGTATTCTACTGCTGTTTCTTTATAGTCAGGAGGAAAGGCATGTTGGAAGGCTAATGGACGAGAAGTGGATAGGAATTTTCATCTGGAGAGCATTGTTACATAGGGTAGAAAGTAATTATCTGGAACTCAGAATAAATATGTTGGCCTTGAATCGAGACCTGATGGTCCTGAATCCAAGCACAGTGGGAGGGATTCGTCACCTAAAGTCATTGCTGAGCCTGCAGGCTGACAGAGCCTCCCCAGTCGTAGCATCTGAATTAATTTTAGGCCAGTGTAGCAAATACGTGATTGTACATAATCTAATATTGTCGTATTAAATATAGAAATCCAGAGTTTGGAACACATTTTTGAGGAGTTGTTTCAAGAATTTCTTCATCATCTTTTATGAGTGTGTGAACTGATTAAAAAAAAAATACACAGGGGTGGGCAAAAGTAGGTTCACAGTTGTTCATATGCATAAAGACATGCAGGTCAGTATTTTCACAGCAGCTTTAGTAATGCAAAAGAATGTCACAGATGGGCTTTATTAGCTCAAAAGAATGTCACAATGGCACAGTGCACTTAGGGACAACTTCGTAAGTGCTTGAAGAGCCGGCCTTCATGATTTCCACATCCTTGTGGTCTTGGACAGTCAGTAAACAAGCCTGCATTTCAGCCACCTGCTTGGGTCGGCCCCACTGCCTCCCGAGGTGGTTGACTTTAAGACTGCTTTCACCCACCGCATATAACTCCAGCCAAACTCCAAATCTCCCTCCCTTGGCAATTTGAAAAGGTTTGAAAACGTTTGAAAACATCTCAGTGAATATATCAATTTAGCTTCCTAAACTCTCTCCAGTTGTGCTCCGTTTTCTGCAGAACAAGGCAGAGAATATGCACGTATGGAATAAAATAGGACAAATTACCTTGGGGTCGCCTCTCATCCTGGATTCCGCTCCATCTTTTGTTCTTTCTCTCAGAGCCTCAGTTAATACTGTTTCCATATGTGCCAGGACTTTCCGATTTCTAATTCCCGATGAAACCTTTGCTTGCTAGGTTTGATCTCCTAAGAAAAAATGAAAATAGCACTTATCTCTTTAGGATTCTGATGTAATCAGAGTATACTGTTTCATTGTTGAATTTTGTATGCTTAGTGTAATTTCTACTTCCATGTGTCTGAATATGTAATTTTTGAGCCTGGCATTACCTTCTAAAAACCAGAATCAGTTGAAGAGTTAAGATCCCAACAACTCAATTTTAATACATTTTATGAGTACTGGCCATTAATTTCTATTACTTGCTTCAACCTCAGGGCCTTTGTGTTTGCAATTTCCCTTGTCAGGGACAGCCCATTCCTAGATCTCACCTAACTGGCTCCTTTTGCTGCTCAGGTCTTTATGCGAAGGTCACCTCCTCAGGGAGGCCTCCGTGGTTGTTTTGGCCTGAAGCAGACCCTTACCACATTATCACTTTACCATGTTTTATGTTCTCCAAAGCCCTTGTTGTTTTCTGAATTTATCTTGTTCTATTATTATTGTCATTATCAGGATTGTCATTATTATTTTCCTAACCAGAGTAAACACAAGTTGAATTTTTCCTATATGCCCTACATAAATCATTGTATGTAACACAACATTTTAATAATGATAGCTAACACTGATTAGATATTTACTCCTCACCAAACACTAGGCCAGGTCAATGCCATCTCTTGCCTGGACTATTGCAATGGCTTCTGGCCCCTTTTTTTCCATAGAAGCTGGTGGTTTTCCTAAAACATAAACCAGGTACATAATGATCAGCATTCAGCGTCATTAATGCTTTTGGCCATCCTCATGTCCTACAGTGGCTTTCAAGATCCTGCCTGATCTGGCTCCCCCAACCTTCCTGCGACATCTCTTGCTTCTCTTTACCTTGTTCCCCTCTGGCCACAGGCTCTGAATCACATTTCACCCAGATTGCCATTCATTCATGTGGCTTCATTCCCACTTCACTTATGACTCTGCTGAAACGTCACCTCCTCACAGACACCTTCCCTGACCACCCTATATATACAAGGACTCCACTCACCCCCTTCCCCCTTTCCATGCTTTATTTTTCCTCACTCAACATTATCTTACTCGTTTTCCTGCCTTCAGCAAATATCTGTTGAATGTTTACTGAGCACTAGGCCCTGTTCTAGGCACTGGGGATAAGAGGTCAATGTGACGGGCAGAATCCCTGTCGATACGGAGATATTGGGGGGAGACATATGGTAGACTTAATAAAAAGGTAAAATATATACTATGTTAGATGGCTTTGCGAAAACTAAAGCAGAACAAAAAGCTAGGAAGTGATGGGACAGGAGAGGGAGAGTTAGGTTTAAAATATAGCAGTCGGGGGGGCCTTGGTGACAGAGTGGACCAAGTGGAGTCCTGAAGGAGATGAGGGAGCAAACTATACATATGTATGTACGCACACATACACATATGTATATATGACTACACATATGTGTGAACAATTACAGGGAAGCATGTTCTAGAAAGAGCATGGTATTTGAAGGCTCTGAGGGAGGAGCACCTCTAGCGTGCTCAAGGAGCAGCGAAGAAGCCGGTAGCTGGAGCAGTGAGCAAGCAGAAAAGGAGGAGATATGGGAGCAAATGACAGGGGTGCCAGGCTCTGGTGCCCCTGAACCCTCTCAGCTTGGGAGCCTTGGAACAGGGGGGCAACCTGAATGGGCTTCCATTTGACCTGGACCCTCCTGACCCGTGTGTGGAAAACAGACTTTAGAGGAGCAAGGGTGGAAATAGAGTCCAGTTAGCCGGGAAAGATCGAAGTGGCCAGGGCCAGGGTGACAGTGTGGAGGTGGTGAGAAGTCCCTGTGGTCTGGGCATATTTTGAAGGTTGGTCCAACTGGATTTACTAAGAAACCGAGAAACTGAGAAACAGAGCAATCAAGGATGCCTCATCCCAGGGTTTTAAATCCAGGCCACTGGGAAGATGGAGATGTCAGTACCGAGACAGGGAACAGAGAGGGAACAGGTTAGGGGGAGGGAAGGCAAATGAGCAGGCCCCCAGCTGGCACTGTGGGGCCTTTGTGGACATGAGAAAAAGGCTCCCCCTCTGGGCTGATGCAGTTGGAACCAGCAGAGTAGGGGACTTCAGCCCCCATTCCTTCTGCTTGGGAGGCATCTTCATGTACAGTTGCAGGCAGAGGAGTTCATCAGGGGCTTTGCTTTGGGACTGGTAAGATTGCATCCAGCAAGATGCTGACTGGACAACTGGCCATGACTTTGGAGTTGGGGGTCAGAGAGGCCGCAGGTGTAGGGGCTCTGTCATGGGAGTGTTTCTGGCTACTAGACTTTTTATCTTTATTTGTATACACATTACACTGTATATTAGACAAGCTTTATTTACCTGCTCATTTCTCCTCCATTATTACATAAGCTCAGGGTGATCCATGTCTGTGTCCTACTCAGTTGTATTCTAGACCTAGCTCAGTCCTGAACACTTAATAAACGTGGTTGAATGAGTAAACTGGTTGGGATACCATTGCTTTTTACAAGTCCTGTGGGTTTCATGAAGTTGAGGCATTGCCAGGTCTATCCGTCAATCTGTCTGTTAGACTTTCCCATTCCTACTATATGCCAAAGCTCAAAGTTGTTTTTTTTTTTTCAACCTGCACCAAGTACCATTTATTACATGATTACCAAAAGGAAACTCAAGTTCAAAGTGGACTTAACATGTATGAAGATTGCTTGCAGCTAAAACATACAGTAAAATGATGGGAAAACCTAAAATGAAGAGAAATAAACCTGGTTTAGATAACAAATTTCCATAATGGTGGGCCTATTCTTGAGGGGACTGTTAATACTTTCCTTTTATATTTAGTTTTGCTTTTGGTGAGGATTTACTTTTAACTTTTTTTTCCTACACTGAGGGTGAGAATTGTGTTCTTCTATCTAAAGAGATGATATAAAGGGTGACTTAATTCAGCATTTGTGTTACAATTAGACTCAAGACTGGGGATGATAGGTGCTCAGGAACTCAGCATTTGTACTTGGAATGGTCAGTAATGGTTTTGCACAAGAGGTGAAGTTTAAACTGGGTTATGTATCAATTAGCTATTGTACAACTCCAAAACTCAATGGCTTAAATAATAAACATTTATTATTGCTTGCAAGACTGTGGTTCAGCTGGTCGTGACTAGGCCTTCTCAAGGTTGGGTAGGCAACTCTTGGTTGGGCTCTCTCACATATTTGGGGCAGAAGGCAGGTCTAGCAGGACCGTGGATGGGACACCTGGGTTCTCAGCTTGCAGTAGACTAGACAGGGCTTGTGCACGTGGCTGTGGCAGTGTTCCGAGCGCAAAACTGGAAATGCGCAAAGCTTCTTGAGGCTTCAGCTTGGAACTGGCCACATTCTATTGGTCAAAGCAAGGGGTAGGGAAAGAGACTCCACTCATGATGGAGGAGTGAAAGCCACATGGTAAAGAGTGTGGGCATAGCCAGACCATTAATAGGAGCCATCAATCTAACACAGGTTCCCAAAGGACAGATGGGCACAGTTGGAAGGAGGACGTGAGGGAACTGGTGATCTAACCTCCTCTGATCTAAACAAAAATGTGCCTCAACCATCTCCCATCTGACCTCCCTACTATCTGGGAAACACATGAAACGTAAGCTTTCTGTTAGCTTGTAGGTTTTAACACTTGAACTGTTCTCTCTCTGTCAGAAAAGAGTACTTCATTGAAAGTACAACTATAATTGTCTTGAGAAAGTTTCCTAGAATATATTAATTTTTCTTTGCTAGATGCCTGCGTATGGCCATATTTCTCACCCAGTTATATTGATCATGTCGGTGTTTCCACAAGTAATCATTGTACCTTCTCCTGTAGGATTACACCCATATGTTGACCTGTGTTACTGAAAGAGAAAAGTTTATTGTACCCATCAAAGCCAGAGGTGCTCGGGCCATCCTAGATTTTCCTGACAAGCTGAATTTTGCCACTTGCCCTGTCAAATACAGCACTCAGAAGATTCTGCTGGTACGAAACATTGGCAACAAAGACACTGTGTTTCACATCACAACTTATAGGTATGCGTTCCTTTGGCTCTTGTTTTTGATTGATTATAGCTGCATCTAGTTACTACAAGTAATTTGCTGGAATAGCAGTTGGAGTTGGAACTGCTTGTTACAGTCTTAGCTGCAAGGCTGGGAGAGCTCCCTGATGTAGGGCAGACATCCTCTTCTCAAGAGGAGACCAAATTTCAAGGTTACCCTTTTGGGTATGGAAAGTCTTCTGAAATGCTGGATGAGACTCCTACTTAGCATAGAGAATGGCCCATGGGAATCTATTAATAGACATTCGTTTTGACTAAGAATTTTATAACTGGCTGTATTGGTTTTCTGCTGCTATTATAACAAATTAGCACAAATTTAGTGGCTTAAAACAACACACATTTATTATCTAACATTTCAGTAGATCAGAGGCCTCTACTGGGTTCTTATGTGAAGGCTTGAGGGGAGAATCCATTTCTTTGCTTTTTCCAGCTTCTAGGGATCGCCCATATTTGTTAGCTCATGGTGCTCAGTTTTCTCATCTGAAAAATGGGGAAAAGCACAGTAGCCACTTAATAGGGTTGTTGTGAGAAATAAATGAATTAATAAATGTATGTTGCAAGTGCATAGCGAGTACTACATAGTAAGTGGGTGTTCTTTTATTGTTTCTTCAAATGAGCCGCTACCAGTGTGGTGGGCAGAATAATGGCTCCTTGGATGTGCCCACATTCTAATCCTCAGAACCTGTCAGTCTGTAATGTTAGATGACAGTAGGGGACTGGGTTTACAGATGTGATTAAGGCTGCCAGTCAGCTGACCTTAAAGTGGGGAAATCATCCTGGATTACCTGGGTGGGTCCAGCGTAATCACAAGGGTCTTTAAAATAGAAAAGGCAGGCAGAAGAAGGGTTCAGAGTGATGAAATGTGAGAAAAACTCAACCTGCTTTTTCAGGCTTTGAAAATGAGAAAACAGAGCAATAGTGAGGCTATATTACTTGCTCTAGAGCACATAGCTAGGATAAGCAAAGGAGCTAGATTTTCATCTGATTAGTTGAGAAGCAGCTACAGGGTAGTGGACACCATGGGACAACGTGAAGGCCAGTGAGACAAGCCTTGCCCTCAAGGAGCTCTCTTATAAGGTGGGAAAGAACAATTGTTATGGAACTTGAAAACAGTGTCTGATCAGCAGGGCACTGATGGCTTAAGAATGACCAGCTTGGGAGGATAGGAAACAGAGTCAAGTTCTTTTCCATCACTTAAACAAAGTGTGTATATTGATCTGGATTGTGAGCTCATTTTCAGAAGGGCTTTATCTGTGGAATCCTTTGCTGGTTAAAGGACCCATCTCTCCAGAATTCTGCCTGAGTCACGATTAAACTATGGAAACTACTCTTCTGGTAATTTTGGGGCTTGGGGGTTCGTAGACCGATAGTGCATATTCAAACCCCACACCTGCGTAAGACACATGTCGGAAGTCAGGAGTCCCTGGAGAAACTGTGTTTCTTTCTCTCAAAACCAAGACAGGACTTGTCCTGGTGATGGTTTGGCAGCCCTTCAAGTTTCCAGGTTTTATATGGGGATTTTGTTCTAAATTCCCTGACTTGACTATCTCAAGGTCGGCTGTTAAAACCCAGGCATCAAGGTTATTGGGAACCCAGGGCAGACCCAATTAGTTCAGTGGCTTACAGCTCTGGTTCTTAGATTTTTCTTCATTTTTGAATCTTGTGGATTTGCCTTAATTGCTTGCATGTTCAGCCACTCACTTATGTAACTTATATTTTATCCAGTCTTCCTAGTCCTGCTGGTAGCAGAGTTTTCAAGTATCTTGGTCTGTGATGCTATAGGCAGCAGGGCTGTCACCATGCAGGTTGGGGGTGCATCCTTCGGCTGGGAGCTCGTGTTTGCTCTTCCAGGTGTCCCGGGAGCACCACTGTCTCCGGACCATTTCACACAGATCTGCATGCCTGTCTCGTGTTGCATTACCCCCGGCTGGAAAACTATTTTTAATTTTTATTTGTAGGGCAGGTCTACTGGAAATTCTTTCAGTTTTTGGCTACTTAATAAAAAGTATTTTGCCTTCATTTTTGAAAAATATTTTCTCTACAGTATGGAATTCTGAGTTGATAGTAATATGTCCCTGTTTTTTTAGTGCTTTAGTGATGTCATTTTATTGTCTTTTGGCTTACATGTTGCTCATGAAAGTCTGCTATAACCCCTATCTTTATTTCTCTGCATGTCTTTTTCTTGGGCTGCTTTCAAGTTTTTTTCCTTATAAGGGTGGGCAAAAGTAGGCTTACAGTTGTAATACAAATAAATAATACAGTAATGCATATGTAATAATATAAGAATAAACTCTGTATTTCGTGTACTCACAACTGTAAACCTACTTTTGCCACCCCGTGTTTGTTTTGTTTAGCACTTTGAGTACGATGTGTCTAGGGGTGGGTTTGTTTGTTTTTTTTAAGGAACTTATTTTGCTTTTTAGTTTCAGTTTCAATCTTGAATGAAATTCTCTGAGCTTCCTGGATCTTTTTTTATATTTTATTTTATTCTCAGCCATATCTCTTCAAATATCGCTTCCACTCACTGCTTCTGCTTGGAGGGAGCTTCTGTTTCTCTTTGGTGGGACAGCCGGCAAGTGTCCCGTCTCCCCTGTGGGGACGGGCATCGTCCACTTTCAGATTTCAGGCCTCTTGTGTGCCCTGCAACCTCAGCTCTCTGAGGGGTTCAAGAAAACTTGTGATTTTTCTGTTTCTCTGGGTTCTTTTTCGTTGTTAGATAGGAGAGACACTCTTTCTAGCTTTCCGCATCCCTAATCACCAGGAAGCAGGATGCCGAATCACGTTAGAGAAGCCAACCATCAGAAGCAAAGGAAAAAAGCTCTTTTGAAAAGTGGTGTCTCCTGACACAGCCCATCAGTGCTTACACGGCCTCTGTCGTCCCATGGTGAGACGCACTTATTCTGCTTGAAGGAGAAGGAAGCAGGTTGTCCAGCTGGCTCACCAGGACTTAGGAGAAAGAAGCAGTCTTTTTTTATTTGAAGGAAGGCCCCCCACAACCACCATGTGTAACACACACTAAAGACTTCCCGTTACGTGGGGTTTTTTTCAGTGTAAAAGAGAATCCACCCAAGGCGAGCAAACGAGTGCAGGCAGCATGTCTTCCTGGGCTGTTTGACTGAATCTTCAAAACTACACATAAATATCTTCACATACTACATTCCCATAAAGTGAAACAAAATTACTCCACAGATTTAATAGTGTGACGTGGCAGGAAAAGACCGCAAACTTTTCTATCCGTAGCTATGAATGTGAATCATCTTCTCCTGATACAGAAACACTTGTAAGGTAAACTGGTGAGCCAAATTAAGGACTAGCCAGGAATTACAAAGACATTAGAAACTAGAGTCCAACATTCTCATTTTACAGGTGAGGGAATTAAGGGCTGAAAAGGGAAATGCCTTATCTAAGTTCTTCTGGTAAATTAATAGCGAAGCCTGGGTTAAAGCAAACCTGGGCCAGTTCTGGGCTCTGGATTCCCAGACCCATCCCTCGCTCTCTCCCTGCAATGTCACCAGGGGCTGTGTGAGCTCCCCTAGCCTCTGGAGTCAGCAGGACACCAGCTGTGTTTGACGAGTTGGGGGTACTAGAAGGAGGTTACAGGGCAGGAAGAAGTCAGGGTAGTTCTTCTCCCTCTCTGGCTTCAGCAGAGTCCCCAGCAAGCAGATGCACTTTCTCGTGGTTCTAGGTCCCGTCGGACAAGTGTCATAGTTCCACCTGCTGCCAGTTCCTCACTTCCTCTCCATCTTTTGTCTCCAGCGCAGGGGTGGAAATGGCTTACTGTTGTTACGAATCCCTGAGCTATCTCACTGTCTTAAATTGGGCCTCTCACCACTCCCATCTTCTGTGTCACTAAGTCTCTCAATTACATCCCCTGTTTAGAAATATTTTTGTTTTCCTGCTTAGACTTTGCATGATATAGTAGTTTTATGTTATTTCCACAAAATGCATGTTTTCCAGCCATGCTGTCTATTCAGTGAGCTACTTCAGGTTCTTCCCATAAATCCCTTTTCTGTTTGTTAGCCAGAGTTGGTTGCTGTTGTTTACAACTGAGAACCTGAGGGCTGCAACGAAAAAGGATGCAACTGCATTTTGAATCTAAATCTCTGGTAGCTCTCCTGACAAGTGTCCATTCTAAAAAATACAGAGGAGATTGTCCTGCCCGGACAGGGGTGGGGACCACTATTTCAGTTAACGTGATTGTCAGTAGACGTGGTAGAGCAGTGGGTGTAGCTTGAGACTTTGGGGTCAGTCAGAAACCCAGCACATACTCTTGGTCTTGCTACTTTTTGAGTCAATAGTCAGTTTGAAATAATATCTCACAGGAAATAGTTTCAAAAACGTCATATTCTTGCTCTGGCCAGTGTGACTCACTTGGTTGGAGAGTCATCCTGTAGCTGCAAGTTGCGGGTTTGATTCCTAGTCAGGACACATGCCAAGGTTGTGGGTTCAATCCCCAGTCTGGACCAGTACAATTGAAGCTTCTCTCTTCACTGCGATGTTGCTTTCTCTCCCTCCCTTTCTCTCTAAAAGCAAAGGAAAAAATGTTCTCAGGCAAGGATTAAAAAGATCCTATTCTCATTGAAATAATAATTTAACTAATGTTTAAGTTTATAAATGGTTAAGTTCATATACATTGTAAGATAAAACTTTATGTGTCTGTTGCTGCCATTAGAATATGAACTTCTCTAATGCAAGGTTGTATTTAACTCTTCATTTGTATGTCCCTAGCACCTAGCAAAGTATCTAAAATAAATAAATGCTCAATAAATGTTTATAGGATATCTAACCAACAATATATCACAAAGGCAAAGCTACAACTATAAACCTCTATAATAATTTAAAATAAAAAGCATGCTCCAAGTACTATAAAATAGGCAGAATGGCTTTTACACTAATATAAGGAGCCGCCAAGTGCTATAAAATATATAGAGAATGTAAACAATTACTCTTCAACTTTATTACAGATTTGACCTAACACTCTAGTAGGTGCCAGAATAACTTTGACTGTTAAAGAAAAATTCATTTCAGAAGGTGAAGCAGAAAGATTTAAGAAGCAATTTAAAAATCTAAAACCTCAGGTTAGGAACCAGTTAATAAAAAGCTTATCTGAAGAAAAATATTAATATTATATTTAATATTTTATTTAATAGACTCAGTACTTAGTCTTCTGCTAAAATATTGAATCATTTGCATGGAACAGTTTCAGTTCTTTAGAGCAGTTTGTAGTGGATTAAATAAAAATCTTTCAAAGTCCCTTAAAATCTTTCTCATGGCTCATGATTTTTCACGCACTCAAATTTTCTCCTTAATCAAGTGTTTGGTATTAATGAGGATGTGATATCCAAACCAAATACTTTGGTAGAAGGAGCCAGCCTTATACCCTTGACAAACAATATTTTTACTTCTTTGTAAGAGCATTTTCTGGTAGTTGATGTTTTCTAGCCTCTTCAGCCTGTCCATTCTTAGTAAAATGGAGTACAAAATCAAATTATAGACAATGTCTAAGCACCAGAACTTACACTCTACCCAATTAACATCTGATTTATTGAGAGAGCTTAGGCACCCCTCAGTAGAAATGGCTATCCCAAGTGATTTTCTACATAGTGAAGAAATTTAGTGTAATATAAAGCCAAGCATTAGCACAACAGGAGAGTGTCTGTTACCTCTGTATGGAATTTGGATTTCTGGAGTTCCTAGAGAAGGATAACCGTTTTTTTCCCCCACAGAAAATTAGCTTAGGCCTGGCTGGTATAGCTCAGTGGATTGAGCATGGACTTCGAACCAAAGGATCGCTGGTTCATTCCCAGTCAGGGTACATGCCTGGGTTGCAGGCCAGACCCCGAATGGGGGACTCATGAGAGGCAACCACACACTGATGTTTCTCTCCCTCTCTTTCTCCTTCCCTTCTCCTCTCTCTCTAAAAAAAAAAATAAATAAATAAAAAATAAAATACAATCAATAAGAAAAAAACAGAAAATTAGCTTAGCTTCTGCAATGTACTACTACCCAAATCATTTCAAAACTGTTTTTTTTTTTTTGCTACCAAGTCATATTTGAAAAGAAAATGAAAGCAATTTCATTTCAGTATAGGAAGAAAAATATTAGGAACTAGGGAGGCAAAGATAGAAGAAAATATTACAATAGATTATGTTGTTCCCAAGCCAGGAAACTGGGTCAAGTTCTCAACATTTTAGATTCTTATTGAGGCCACAAGGGAGAAAGAAACTTTTTTGAGACTGTGAGACTCAACTTCATTTCACATGAAGCAGAAATTCTTGAGCTACTGAAAGTCTGTTCCTCTTCTGTTTCACCAAGATGTTATAAACATTAATTTATGATTACAGATATTTTTATTTCCCTCTAAAATTTTGTTTTAATTCAATTTGACAAACTCTTCTGAGAGACTCCTGTGAGTAAAGATCTGTGCATGGCGTGGTAAGAGACACAAAGATAAATCTAACCAGGTTGCTCCCACCTTCAGGGAGTACACAGAAAGAACTTGAACTTGAAGTCTTGCTTCCATCCAACCTCCACCATTACCTAGTTGGGTAACTTTGGGACAGTTGCCTGCCCTTTTGGAGCATCTGTTTTCTCATGTCTAAAATGCAAATAACAGTATCTACTTTCTCAAGGGTTTGGGGGAATTAGAGGAATTGACATATGTAAAGTGCCCCATGTAGTGTCCAGCACGGGGTATGCACTCAAGAAATTGTAGGCTTTCTCTTTCCTTTCATCTCAAGAGTCTCTAACTATTGAGAGATGCATAAAAACTATCTATAATACAAGGTGAACTGAAGTAACAAGTAAAAAAAGACAGTTATACCCTCCGAGAGGAAGGCAACGTTATCATCAAGAAGGAGAATTAGGGAAGATTCTATTTCAGAGGTGATTTTGAGTCTAGGCTATGACAGGTGACTTGGGGAGGAGTATGGAAAGTCTGTGTGTGTGTGAGGGCACGGTCTGGTTGGAAGGGAGAGGAGGTGGCAGTGCTAGGGGAGGTTGTGGGTGAAGAGACTCAAGTCCTCCCATCCTGTCCCACCCCAGCCTAACTTGTAATGTGACAGGTACATAGGACGTTCAGACTGATATGTGTGTGTAATGAGAATGCAAAACTGCTTGGGAGCAGAGTGTGGGGGACCTCAAATGCCTAAGACTTTGAACTTTAGGGCATAGCTTATGAGGACCACTGAAGGTGTTTGAACAAGAGATGGATGTGTTATGGCCCGTAAGGCTTTTTAAAAAGTCTCTAGAGCAGCATAAAGGGTTGAGAGGATAATTATAAAAATTTGAACTCATCTAAATACCCAAGATTATCCCCAGGCTCATCTTCCATGTAGGGGCTGCCAGTGAGGGAGATAAAAATAGCGGTAACAACAATAATGATAAACACTTGCTTAGCACTTCCTATGTGCCCAGCATTATTACAAGCACTTTACTCACACCAACTTCTCACTACTCCGTAGGGTTCTATGAAGTAGGTGCTGTCATTACCTCATTTTACAGGTAAGGAAACTGAGGTTTCCATGACTTGTCCAAGGTCGTGGCAGAACTGGGTTTTGAACTTACTCCACTGATTCCAGACTTGTAACCACTATACCGTGGTGCCTCTACAGACCTGCCTGGGGTTCACCGGAGGTCTGGTGCTGTAGGTGTGGGAAAAGGACAAATACTGGAATGGAAAAATACAGAAAGGACAGGGCGATTCAGATGGAGAACACCGGAGAAAACCAGCGACTGCCCGGGGGAGGAAGCGTGAGGGGTCCTGCAGTGGTAACACCAGGTTCCATGTGGTAACGCCAGGTTCCACCCGGTGCCGCCTCTGCCGTGAGTGCAGCCCACGTAGAAGGCTTAGGCTTTCTGAATTCAGTTCATTGTCTAATGGAAGATTTAAGGACTATTCCTTTTTTTAAAAGACTTTATTTATTTACTTTTAGAGAAAAGAAGGGAGGGAGCGAGGGAGGGAGAGAAGCATTGACCAGTTGCCTCTCACACACCCACAAATGGGGACCTGGCCTGCAACCCAGACCTGTGCCCTGACTGGGAATCGAACCAGCGGCTTTTCAGTTCACAGGCTGGCACTCAATCCACTGAGCCACACCAGCCAGGGCAGGAATGTTTCTGATACAAGTAAATAATCAGAAATAGCTTAGCTTGCCAGACACATTGTATAATGCATTACTTTGAAAAACTAACAATTTCAAAAAGTGAAATGGAGCATGAAAATAATTTAGTGGACTGGGTGTCCTGTTTTGAAGGAAGAACTCTAAATTATTTGAGGTACTTCATGATCAGTTCCAGCTTCTCTCTTCCTCCTCCCTTCCAGGGCAATTAAACAAAGCTATTTCCAAATCCTCTCTGCCTTCCCATAGTGTCTACATGCCCAAATTCCATTTCGAAGACACAGGACTTGTCTCGAGTTTGCTTTTTCAAGAGCTTTCCCCGCATCTCCAGCTCGCCCTCCCCCAGGAGGCTGACCTATGTGGCAGAGGGCAACAGGCTCGGGTCCTTTGGCTTCTGGTTGGGTTCAGGCTGTGGGGGCCCCAGCAGGCTGGCAGGCAGACAGGAAGAAGCGAGTTCAGGACACATTTCCCCCTAGTGTCTTCCCTGTGAAGCCCCCTGGGCTGGCTGGCTGTCTTGACTAAAGCTCCTTGCCCTTCATAAGGCAGCATTCTCTTAGAACTCTCATGGGTTTTAAAACCACTCTTTCTCCTTGGCTCTTTGGGCCTAGAGGTGGTAACAGCCCTGCTGCTAAAAACCTTGGGTGATTGAGTCATCAATTGTAGTTTCCCTATATCTCTTCCCCTCCTTTAAATGGACGCTTTGTCAAACTGCCCTCAAATTATCCTCATGTGATTGTGTTATCACTTTCCTTTTGGGATGCTGATATATTTTCCCATTATGAAGCCCTTTCTTCTCCGAACCCTCACAAAACTTGATTTTTGTTCCTTTGACAGTACTGTTCTTTTCCTGATTACATTATTTGCATAGATGTTATAAATCTGTGCCTTACTGAAATCGCTCAGTGAATCTCAATGAAGGTTAAAAAATGGCTGAATGGCAAGGACACAAACAAGAGTATTATTGCATCATTTCAGTTTCTTTTAAACTTGTGACTTTATTACTGTTATTTTAACATTAAAACTTAAGTTCTTTCACATTAGGGGGAAAAGTCTACTTTACTCAGGAATCGCTGAATTACAGTGTCAGGACTGAGCCATCTCCAGATGTAGCACTGGTGTATCTGTTCCACCTCCCCTCACACGGGTCAGGACCGTGTCCTGATGGTGTGTCTCATGCGTATTGCAGGCCGTTCTCTGTAGAGCCATCTGTCGGAAGTCTTAGTGTGGGAGAGTCCATGCAGCTGGAAGTGAATTTCGAGCCACAAACCGTGGGCAATCACAGCAAACGGCTTATTGTGTATTACGACACAGGTATGCACTGTTCTTTATTAAAAGTTCTATGTTAAGAAAAGTCAAATGGAAAATATGATGAAGCAAAGTAGGAAATGGTTATTTTGGCTACTTTAGAGTAAGCTAAGAGCCACAAGGTAAAGAAAAAAAGAATGTTGAGGCAGATATAAATCCCACCTGACTGGTTTCGCCAATGCTTTAAAAGCCTGAGAAATACGGCTCAGGAAGGAACCTATTCCCAGATGTCGCATTAGTAGACTGAGGTTATTTATATGTAAATGGCTGGAAGGTAACTTAATACCCCATGTGTTTTCCATTTGATTTATTGCTTCATTTACCTAACATTTTGAAAATGTAAAACCCCAGTTCAGAGTGGTCTTGTGTGTGCTCACTAGCCCATGTTTTAATAAGTGTTTCATTAACACTTAACTGAAAATATTTTAGAATTTCCATTTTTTACCTCTTCTTTGACCCACTGGGCTATTTAGCAGTGTGTTCAAACATTTGGGAATTTTCTAGTTTTCTTTTTTTAAAAATAGATTTATAGTTGACTTCCACCAGTGATAGAAAACCAATTCTATATGACTTCTGTTCTTGAAATTAGTTGAGACTTATGTTATGGTTCAGAATACATTCCATTTTGGTAAATGAGCCCCATGCACTTGGAAAGGATACAAGTTCCATGCATAGGAGGTCAAGTTAATCACGTTGTTCAATCTCTATCTCTATTAATTTTTCTCCTCATTTTATTAGTTATTGGAAAGTGTTATTAAAATCCACAACTATGATGGTAGATTTGGTATTTTTCTTTTTTGGTGCTTTCAGTTTTCATTTTATATATTCTGAGGCTCCGAAGCTTAGTGTGTACACATTTAAAATTATTATAACTTCCTGTCGAGTTAACTGTCCTGTCATTATGAAATGTCTCTGATTGTTAGTAGGGTTTCCAACGCTAAAATCTACTTGGTCTGATATATGTATAAGATGGCAGCTTCCTTTTGCTTAGTGTGTAGACAGTATATTGTGTTTGTGCATTTTCTTTCAACTTTTCTGTGTCCTCTTATTTAAAGTATAACGTTTGGAAGTGTCACCAGGTTGTTGTGTTCTGATTTAGTCTGAGAATCCTTGTCTTTTAATTGTACAATTGCGTCTTTTTATGTTTAATGCAATTACTGATTTGGCTGGAATCTTCTGTTTGACTGTGAAGTAATTCTTACCACTATGGGGAAATTATTAGCTGAATTTCAACAAAAGCCTTTGTGTTATTAGTGTTGATATTAGATAAAAGTGAAAAAAATATGAGTGTTAATAAACTCAATTTTCTACATTTCTTCCATCTGGATCTTTATATCATTGTGAGGTACCGTTTTGTTTTTGATATGTTTTGTGTTTATTTATGTTTTGTTTATGTCAGCCCCTATAATTAAGTATTGAACAAAACGTGGTCCTAGAAGTGCCTTTGGATCACTGCATCCATCACAAGGTTTGAACCAGGTGTTTAAAAAAGAATGAAGTGCAGTTGATCTTTTGGCTTTCATCAATGTAATTGATCGTTGGTAAATATATGAAGTAAATTATCTGTAAATATTGTTTATCTTTATCTTATCCTTGTTAATATTTTGGGTTGTATTTTTAACACACTTGACATATGAGTACTCTAGTATATGTATATAATTTATAGAGAAACAAGTCTATATATGTTGGGTGTATAATTTCAAAAAACTTTATTTGAGTTTTGAGACCAACAGGTCTTAAAAGTGTGTACAGACCAACAGAATTAAACTTGAGATGAGATTTCAGTGATAATGCAACCCAGTCCTGCAGTTTTACAGATGAAAAAACTGAAGCCCTAAGAAGTGACTTGGCTTGCTCAAGGTCATGTAACTAGTCAGAAGAACGTCTGAAACCCAGACTCAGCCCCGGCGCAGTGCTTTGTCCGCCATGGGGGTCATCCCATAATCTCTTTACAACTCCATTTTCATTTTCACTCCCTTAATCCACTGACTTGGAAATGCAGCTGCTTTCTCCCAGTGGCCCTGGATCTGGATTTTTATGTAAGTATTTGGATTGATAGCATACTTACGTTTATATTCCTGTGCTAAAGAAAATGAATATTTGTATATTAAAAGTTAATCACTCATGGAGAAGTTGATTTCTGTACTCTGAGGTTCTGGTGCCAACTTTGGTTCATGGATAAAGTCATTTTTTAAAGATTGCAGACAGAAGTAAACTATCATGTAGCAATTTTTCCTTACATAAAATAAACTGCTGATAAGAATATGCTTCCATCTTTCTTATGGGTTATTAATGACCAGAGCCCATAGCCAACCCTTCATGAGAGGAAAACATAATGACTGCCTAAGCACCATCACTTAGCTTTTCCAAGCAGTGGTGATCATCGGCCTCTCATCTCCCTAAATAAGCATCTGATTGAACTTTCTGCAGCTGTTCGAAGCACGCATGGATGTGAGAAGGGCAGTTTACCATGGGCTTTTCTTCATACGTCCTCAGTCCTCAGTCGGTGCTCTGCGGGGAGGGGCGTCGGTGTCCTCTGCGGGAAGCGCTCAGTCAGGTTTCTGAAGCAGCTGTGCTCGCGCCGGGTCCTCCACGGGATGTCATCGTCATTACACGCAACCAGGAGAGCTCGCTCTTTCAACACCCAGAGTTGGAACCAGTATGCCAGCACTTACTAGGAGTTTGGGTATACATTTCATCAACATCTAATACTGCATTAATGCTTTCCTGAGCTAGAACTCTCCCTCCTTTTGTGCTGTGTTTCCCTCCAGCAATGGAATCAAGTTCGTTTGTGTAATTGATTTTACCCTGGAGATGACTTACTTACCTTTTGATTTACCTTTACCTTACTTACCTTTTTACTTACCTTTCAGTTCATTCTCCAAACCTGAGAAAGAACCGAAGTGACTTTATACCTGTGAGAAAAAAATCCTCCAGATAAGGTTAATACAATTACTCAAGGCTACATTGGTAACAACAAAACAAAACAAAACAAAACAAAACAGATAATGAATAAACTAGTTTTGTCATTTCAATAAAACTGAGAAGTAAAGATATTAGTTGACTATTAAGAGATAAGCAAATGGCTAATTGCTTAAGTTTTGACTTTTTCTACTGGGTATTGAGAAACAATGGACCTAAGAGTTCCAAGAGACACTAGTATTCTGAACAGGCTTTAGAAGGAAACATTCTTATTGAAGCTCTGGATGCTTGAATGAGCACTAGAAGTAGAAGCGCCGCGGTGGTTTCCACCCGTGCCTGCTCAGGCTGCTGTCAGCTTAGAGATGACATTAAGGACTGGCAGTCATCAGGATATAGAGCTGATGCATTTTAAACTCATTTAAATGCTAATTCAGCACGTTAGAAAGTATTATGTCTCTTACTGAAGTGGAAATATTTCAATTCAGATGTTGGGAAGTCGGCTTTTTCCCCAAAGGTATGACGATGTATTATTATTAAATATATAAGCAATATAATACTAGTATTTCACAGGGAAACTTTATGGTCATTTACATATTTTACTCTAATGAGCCATAAATAAATTATTTTTTTCCTTTTAAAAGCCAATAAAGGAATACCAAAATATAATGTATTAAGTAACTGAGAGGGATATATCTTGCAGTTGAAACTGCTGATACATGGCTGAATATACCTCTGTGGACTTACCTGCATGAACTTTGTTTCAATTATGTGATTATTATATTAGAAATGTGTGCTGTTGTAGTTAGAAACTCTAATAAGACAGAGTTATTATTAAAGGAGCAAATGTTTTAACATGGCTTAGAGGCAATGGGAATATTCCTTGATCCAGTTTCCTCCCCCACCCCCCTTTGGTTCGTATTCCATAGCTTAGAGTAGGGAGGAGCAGAAGTTAGGACATACAGATTGTTAGGGATTGTTTAGGGAAGTGGAGCGAGAGTTTCATAAATTGCACAGGAAGTACTCTCAAGTCATTAGATGTTAGTATTTAAAGGGACATTAGAAGACATCTCTTTAACTCTCTTTATTCTAGAGATCAGAAACTGAGGCCCAAAGACATTTGATGACTGTATGTGTAATTAAAGCTGGAACTTGAACCCAGGTCTTTGGCAATATCTGAGACCAGAGCCTTTTCTATAATCCTACGCTGCTTTCCATGCAGATCAAACACACCAATGTTGGCATTGCCACTGGTGTGCTGGGTGAGCTCAGTCAAGTCCAATAATTTGTTTCTCGAACCCTTCAAAGAAAGAGCACTTCCAAAGAAGTTTGATTCAGCAATTCACTTAACTGGTGAACCTGACCCTACTGAGACCAAGAGATAATAAACACTCTATCCATCAATGTGTTGGTTCCCTAGAGAATCTAGAGCCCCACTCATATATATATTTTTTACTGTCCTCTGCTGTCTGAAAGTACTGAAACCACAGCATGAAATGTATTGCGTATATAGCTGGCTTCACATTTTTCGGTAAAATTAGTTTTGTTCATATTTGTTTTTGCTAGATTGATAGTAGTAAAACTGGCATGAGGTAATGAGACCTTCCACAAAAACATCTTTACTACCACATAATAAATGATGGTGTCTAATCGCATCTACGGTGGTTGCAGCATTCCACCCCGGAAACCCGAAAGCAACCACTGCAGGAGCAGGCAGTCCAAGGACACAGAAATGCTGAGGCACAACAACCTTATCCATTCTTGTAGGCTATCACCTCCATCTTATCATGCTTCTAAGCAGCTGGGGCCTGGGGACCCTTTTTAAGGTTGTCTTCATGAAGGAGAGTATAAAAAGCAAGTACTTCAACAGCTGCACAGATAAGACAAAAGTTTTTGTTTCCTTTGCGGATCTGATGATTTTTGGAAATAGTGGTAAAAAATGAATATGAGATAGGTCTTGAAAAAAAAATGTAGTGGCTCTTGCTGTATTTCTGGGAAGGAACAGTTTTGCAGCAAGCAGCTCAAATTGATGACAGTCTCTCTAACACCCTAGATTTATGTGATCTAAGTAAATCCTTGGATCTTTT